CTCCGGACTCGCAGTCTGCCAACGTTTGACAAATTATACAACGAGCGCGCCGCAAGCACCGACTTTTTGTTAAACCATGGGTCGCAAATTGGTCGCGGTTGGGTCGCAGGGTGGGTCGCGGGTGGGTCGCGGGGTGGGTCGCGGGTGGGTCGCGGGTGGGTCGCGGGGTTTGTCGCGGGGTGGGTCGCGGGTGGGTCGCGGGGTGGGTCGCGGGTGGGTCGCGGGTGGGTCGCGGGTGGGTCGCGGGGTGGGTCGCGGGGTGGGTCGGTCGCGGATGGGACACGGGTGGGTCGCGGGGTGGGTCGGGGGTGGGACGACGACAACAAACAAAAAAAAACGCAGAATCCTCACCACGGATCCCCGCTTCAGCCACGCACCCAGGGACAACGAATGACCGCTCGGCATCCTCACTCTGACGTATCGACGTTACCACAGCGCCCCGAAGACGCGGATAAGAGTGATGGGGACGTTGGCAATTTGCGAGACTCTAGAGAAGCCCGCCGCAGGCGTCACGATCTCACATTATACAACGAGCGCGCCGCAATCGCAGATTTTTTGAGGGAAATCAATGTGGGTAGGTCTCGGGTGGGTCGCAAAGGGGTCGCGGTTGGGTCGCTGTTGGGTCGCGGGTGTCGCGGGGTGGGTCGCGGGTGGGTCGCGGGGTGGGTCACGGGTGGGTCGCAGGTGGGTCGCGGGGTTTGTCGCGGGTGGGTCGTGGGTTGGGTGGCGGGGTGGGTCGCGGGTGGGTCGCGGGGTGGGACCCGGGTGTGTCGCGGGGGGTCGCGGGTGAGTTGCGGGGTGGGTCGCAGGTTGTGTCGCGGGGTGGGTCGCGGGTGGGTCGCGGATGGGTTGCGGGGTGGGTCGCGGGGTGGGTCGCGGGGTGGGTCGCGGGGTGGGTCGCGGGTGGGTCGCGGGGTGAGTCGCGGGGTGGGTCGCGGGTGGGTCACAGGGTGGGTCGCGGGGTGGGTCGTGGGTTGGGTCGCGGGGTGGGTCGCGGGTGGGTCGCCGACAACGAGAAACAACAACAACAACAACAACAACAACAACAACAACAACAACAATTACTAGCACGTGGGGACACTCCGTTCTCACCAGTGCCAGGGTTTTCATAGGAGGCGGGCAATACCCCCACTTTGTGGGGGGGCCGGTTCAAGCTCTACCAAATTTCCAAACGACTCTTCGCCACCACCCACACCCAGCTTCCCGCCCTATGACGTTCGGACACTTCACTTCGTGGCATGCGGACGACCGTGGCTACTATTCAGGGCCCCGCGGCCGACGACGACGGCGTGCGCGCGCGAAGAAAAAACGAATGTGTCCCGCATGGTATTATTTGACAGGGATGATGGCCCTGGCAGGTGCGCAACCGTTGTCGCAGAAGTTCGAAAAAGTTGCTCGCAAAAGCCCGTTTGACAGAAATGTTTAAAAAGTGTTGGGTTTCCTACGAATCCGCAAGAGCGCGCGGGATGAGATTTTGACAATTTTTTGTTGAAAAACCATTGGTTTTTTGATGTTTTTATGTTAAAATCGCTGCGAACACTAAGGTTTTGGAAGGATTTCGTCTTGCGCGCGCGAATGTCCACTTTACCTTATTTTTTGCAAGGGATTCTTGAAATTTGATTATATTAGAACAAGAAATGTCATTTTCTATTGTTTTTTGCAAGGGAAAGCGGATTACAACAAAACAACCGGATCCTGTACACACCCTCTTTTCTGAGGCTTCCTCACGAAAATTATGAAAATGTAGCTGCGGCCTAGGCGGCGCAGGGGGGGCGCGCACCAGGGGGCCCAACAATAATTATTCTTTAGAATAAATAATGTTCAACAACAACAACAACGACGACGACGACGACGACGACAACAACAACAAAAGAACAACAACAAGAACAACACCACCATCACCACCACCAACAACAACATCAACAACAACACTCACAACAACACCAACAGCATTAACAGCAACAGCAACAGCAACAGCAGCAACAACAACAACAACAACGCAATACGCAGAATCCTCACCACGGATCCCCGCTTCAGCTGCCCACCCAGGGGCAATTAATGACCGGTCGGCACCCTCGCTCTGACATGTGTACATGTATATATATACACACTAACGTAACACACGTGTGTACACACATTCTCGCACGCACCTCTGCGAGTAAATAGAGCTCAGAGGGATGTGCACGTCTGTCTTCCCCTAGACTGGCCGTTTCGCTATGGAAATCCTGCACATTCTGAAAATTGGTGGCACTCAGCCCCCAAGAAGAGTTCGAACGGCGAGTTCAAAAGCGAAGCTTTTCACAAACACTACCTATACGACCACCCTTCGGGTGATGAGGAGGTTGGGGGGAACTGACTGATGACAACGGCGATGATCGTGATTGGGACGATGCTGGTGATGCGCTAATGAGACCATCGGGACACCAATCGGGACACCAATCGGGACACCACCGCGACACCATCGGGACACCACTGAGACACAATCGGGACACCACCAAAACACCATCGGTACACCGTCGGGACACTATCGGAACACCAACCGGACACATATCGGGACACCACCAAGACACCATCGGGGCAATACCAGGACATCATCATCGGGACAACAATGGGACACCATCGGGACAACATCGGGACACCATCGGGACACCAATCGAGACACCAATCAGAACACCACCAGAACACCATCAAGAGACACCACAGGGACACCATCAGGACACCGCGGGACACCATCGGGACGCCGCGGAACACCACGGGATCTCACGGGACACCACAAAACACCACTGCGGGACACCCCCGGCACCCGCGTGCCACGCGAACGGCGCCCTAGCAATGGAGGGTTCATTCTTCTCGCCCGCCCACGCAGCTTCGCCTCGCCCGCGCGCACGACACGAACTCGAATCCAAACCGATTTCCCAGTGAGGGGCTCTCCCTTCCAAGTCGATCTCACCCCCCAATCTCCGATCACAGTTTCAAGAACATAACTATTCCCAATTGTCTGGAGTACGATTCTGAGAGAATTGCAGATTCGCCTGGGACATCCTCTCGGCATCGAATCCGTTTTTAACACGAGTCTTAGAAGAAAGGCAATCTCGCCTCAGACATCCTCCCAACGTCGAGCCTGTGTTGAATACGACGCGTTGATAAAGGCAAGTTCGCCTGAGACATACTGCCAGCTTCAAAGCCCCGACGTAAAACACACCCGGAACCTCTACAACACACAACCCACTCACACAAAGCGCGCACACACACACACACTGAACACACACACATACACAATACACACACAATACACAACGCACAACACACCCCACTCGCTGAATACTTGCTTACAAGCGCAAGAGGAGCCCAGTGGAAAAGCAAGGAAACGACGAGACCCACAGGACAAACACGCGGATGGGGGGAGGGGGGGGGAAATGGGGAAGGGGCAAATCCCACACATGCAACACACAACGCACACTCAGCACACCTAGCACACACATGCACACGCAACACACACACAGACCTCACATAGCAAACAACACACACAGAACACAAACATGGCTCACATAGAACGCACTCAATACGCAACTCACACAACAGACACATGACACATAACACACCAAAGTGTGGATGAGCCAGGGCTCGCACGTGCTATATATGTGTGTACATACATACATACATACATACATACATACATACATACATGCATGCATGCATGCATGCATGCATGCATGCATACATACAGTATTACATGCATGTCTATGTAAGTACACAAATTTACACACACACACATATATCTATATATATATATGAGTATATAGACATGTCCCCAGCCCGCTGAAAGGGTTTGAACGTTTAGACGGCACTTCGTTCGAGCAGTTGAGAACGTAATGAATTGACGAACATGCCCGAATAAGCACGCGGGTCATGCTTGCATTGCGACTGAGACTCAACACACTTCCCACGAGATGGGGAAGTTCAAATAAAAGCATCGGTCTACCACTTCAGGACACACTGATCAGCCTGGGGAGACTGGCGTCCCTGGGATGCAAGCGCGAACGTACAGCTGAATAGAGGCAATACATGGCCCCGTACCGGAGTATGACGCACACCCAGACGCAACATTCTGAAACTGCGGGCAATGTTCATATCCATATCCAGGGCGTCTTGGCCTTGCGTGGAAGGGGCGCCGCAAGGCCGAGGCGCACTGGATATGGAAAAAAGTGTTGGATCTCTAGTGTGGGCCAGAAATTGCATTTTATCCGTATGCAGTGCGCCTCGGATTTGTGGGGATGGGAACCCGAAGCTCCAAGCTGCAGTGGAGATGGACACACGTCTTGCCCGCAGAAGCGAATGTGAACCGCACCTGCACCCTCCTTTACGCCCCCTGAGATCCTTCAGTTCAGCGAGCTGGCCCTTGAGCGTCTCCATGGCGACAGGGGAGGCGAGGATTGCTGAACTGATGGATTTCGGTGTCCCGGCATACCGAAATCCATCAGTTCAGTAATCCTCGCCTCCCCAGTCGCCATGGAGACGCTCAGGGGCCAGATCGCTGAGCTGAAGGAACTCAGGGGGCGCATCCTGCCCAAAAGGTGGCGAGGGGGAACCGCCGCCTCAGGGAGTCAGACTCGGCCGTGCAAGCTTGAGGCGCCGCTCCTCTCGCCGTCGCTCGTTCCCTCTGTGCCGTTTTCGGCTCCGTGAGCTAGCCTCAAGGGGCCCGACACACACAGATACATAGACGCACGCACATCCCAAGATCCCCAACATGCTCTTATATTTTCTGTGTGTTCGTCTTCCCCCCCACCTCCCGTATTTTCCCATATACCTTCCGGGAAGTCAGCGACTCATTGTGTCGGTGTCTTCTTTGTGCCCTCCTGGTAGTTGCAAGCAAGACGGTAAAAGGATGCTCCTCGACGGCCGTCGCCGAGCAAACATGCACACGGCCGAGCCATGGCAAGTCTGACCATGGCAGCAGGGACTGGAGCGCAAGACAGAGAGAGAGAGAGAGGCGCAGGCGCCGTCGATGTCCAAATCCAGACACTCCCCCGTGGTGAAGCAGAATACCTGCGGCCCTCTCATCAGAGCTCGATGATCCTCAGAACGTGTATTAGAGCCAACGTGTCTTTGTCAGCCGAGTCCCTCCAATACGACGCAGGCGGCGTAATGACGGCCGACGTAGGCTGCGTCCGATCGACGGAGCTGAGCCTGGGAAAACACACATTGGACTCACACGCGTCCTGAGGATCATCGCAAAACAGGAGCAATGCAACACTGCAGATCGAAGACCAGAAGCAACCGGTGACGCAAATAGCAACGAAACATGAGCAACCCATGCGCGCTCCCAAGCAGGCCGTCGACCAAACTTCGACAGGCTGGACAGAGAGAATCGTGAATCTCCCCAGCAATACACCAGCACCGAAGATGAACCCTTCAACTTTCCTCTAACACCGCTTGCTGTTGAGGTCTCCTACCTGGGGTGGTGAATGATCGGATGGGCCCGCCTGGGCTTCGCCTGGTGCCCCGTTGGTAGCCAGTCGTGGGCGCCCCGCGCGCTGGGTGGGTCCGCCAAGATTTCCCCTGGTGCCCGCCCGTGGGCGCCTCGTGGGCGCCCCGTGAGCAGCCGCAAAACTTCCCACACAGCTCGCACCACGTAAGCCGTACCACATAGGTGTAGCACACAGCCTTCCATGCTTGACGGCGCGTAACCCATGCTGTAACTCCCACTGGCCCTCTGGGCGTAGGTGGTCTTCCGAACTCGTTATTCCAACCTCCTTCTTCCCCGTCGGGTCTACCTTTTACCCAAATCACACCACATGCATTGCATTGCACAGCTTTCAACACATGTGTTGCACCACCTGCAGCACACATCCTCAATATAATGAATTTCTGGTTGGGGTCCACGCTGGCCCAAGATGGGAACGCAATTCCAAACCACAACTACGTATTAGAACTTTGATGGCTGAACACCCGCCTGGGCTATGCGGAGCCGCATGCAATACCTGCTGTACATGGGTGTGACCACCACCGCGCTGCCTGCCGATCAAGACAGAGGGAGTTCAATCAATCTCGGGACTGCCTGTATGCAACGCTGTGCTAAGTTCGGCGGCGAGCGAGCGGGGAAATTAGAAGGAGAAGGCCTTCTCAGAAGGCGGCGGGGCTTCTCAGAAAGCCTCGGGCCTCCTGAGAGGCTGTTTGCGTCTTCGGGGAAAGCTTAGAAAACTTCTCAAAGGCTGGGGGACTTCTGAGCCTTATCAGAATGCAAACCGTTTTTCACTTCCCCCCTCTCGCTTGCCGTCGATGGTAAGGCCCGGCCTGCAGTGTACCCCTGGACATTGCGGAGCAACCTGCTGAAGCGCGCCACCTGCGTTCAAGCTCTGGTCTGCTATGCTCGGGGGACGTCCCGCCTCTCCTCCTCGCTCCTCTGACTCCCTCCTCCTCGCTCATCAACCTCCCTCCTCCTCCTCGCTCCTCCTCCTCCTCCTCCTGCTTCTCCTCCTCCTTCGTCTACTCCTCCTCAGCCTTCTCCTCCTCCTCGCTCCCACTTCTCCTTCCTCCTCATCCCTCCTCCTCCTCCTCCTCCTCCTTCCTCCTCCTCCTCCTCCCTCCTCCTCGCTCCTCCTCCTCCTCCTCCAACTCGCTCCAACTCGCTCCTCCTCGCTCCTCCGCCTTCCTCCTCCTCCTCCTCCTCCTCCTCCTCCTCCTCCTCCAACTCGCTCCTCCTCGCTTCTCCGCCTCCCTCCTCCTCCTCCGCCTCCCTCTTCTCCTCCTCCTCCTCCTCCTTCTCCTCCTTCTCACCTCCTCATCCTCCTCCCCCTCTTTCTCCTCCTCCTCCTCCTCCCTCCTCCTCCCCCTCCCCCTCCCTCTTCTCCCTCCTCCTCCTCCTCCTGCTCTCCTGCTCTTCCTCCTCCCTCCTCCTCCTCCCCCTCCTCCTCCTCCTCCTCCTCCTCCTCCTCCTCCTCCTCCTCCTCGCTCCTCCTGCTCCCTCTGCCTCCCCCCCATCTACACTCCTCTGTCCTCCCTCCGCTCTCCTACAAGCCCTGTGTTTCGTTGTTGCCGACGCGACCATAACGGAACGAATATTCGCAGCACCGAGCCTACCTAGGCCGCGAGCCGCGCCATGGCGGCTCGCCCAAGCTGTTCGGCCTCCGCTCGATCGGCGACGCCAGCCGCCGCTGGCAAGGCGCCAACGCTGGGCGGCCTAACGCCTAAGACCAGCTGCTCCGAGTCCGTCGCAGTCCTCGTGTTATCATACACAGTAGGGGCAAGCCTTCCACAAGAAACCCACCCCTGAGACCCGAGAGCGTCCAGTGATTTTTGGTGTGGGGACGTCACGCGTTGCACAGCAAAGCCATCCGAGCCCCTCCTGAGTCCAACGTGACCCCTACCTCCGCGCATCGATTGTGCTCCCTCTCGGGGGTCCGAAAACAATGCAACACCGCCACACCGTAAACCAATCAACAAGAACACAAAAACTCCCAGACACTCCGCCGTCATCTTGCATCGGCGCTGGACGTCGTGGGCGCCGCAACCGTGACGCCCGCGGCCGTGACGACGGCGCCGACGAGCGCCGGAGACAACCGGCGACGACGCCAGCGAGCAAACTTCGAGCAAACTTGAGCAGGGGCCCGACAGTCTCAGCATATCTGCAGGCGTACCACGAACTATTCTTCGAATCGTCGAGCAAAACCTTACGCGAACAACACTCACAGCTATCTTAGAACATCAGGCCGATGCATCAAAACACGACGGCCGCAGCCAGAAATGTTCGAAAAACATGTCTCAGCCAGACATGTTCTTAGACCATGATTTGGTGGTCTTACAGGCAGGTCAGGACAATTCGCCACTGCTTGACTTTCGGCAGCCCTGGGGCCCAGGAAGGGCCCCCGGGGCCCGACAACAGCCGAAAACCTTCCAGACGCATCTGCTTCACGACGACGACGACGACGACGGCGAGGACGAGGAGAATGGCCGATCGGAGCCGACCGCCGACGAGGAGCGGTGGAGGCGGCCGCGGCGGCGCGGCGGCAGAGGCAAGGATCAGGGCGCCCTCCGGCTCGAGGTGCAGGCCCTGCACAGGTTCCAGAACTCCTCGGGGCAGAGCAGGGCCGCTACGCTGAGGTCAGGCCTGTCCCCCTTCAGGGGGATTTTGGGACGAAAACAAAAAATACCCCAAAACATACCCCCAAAAATGCTACAAGATAGTCAAAGCATCGTCCCCAATGTTCCTCCTTGAAAAGGACAGGCCCGACTCAGCGTTACGCGCGGCGCCTCGCTGGCACGGCGGAGGCGGCGGCGGCGGCGGGCCACGGCGGCGGCCACGGCGGCGGCGACGGAGACGAACAACATACCTATCGATGCAGTAACGCTACCCCCGCCTACCCGTCCCTCGGCGCCACGGCGGGACGCGCCTCGCGGTCCCGGTCAGAGCGCACCCCAGGGGGAGGCCCGGGGAGTGGCGGCGTCGGCAGCTGCTTGTCCCCCCCAGCGACGACCAGGACGGCGGGGATGACCACAGCGACGACGGTGACGGCGTCGAAGACAGCGACGGCGACGAATCTTTTTGATATCTCTGGCCATCCTCCTGCCTCTGAGAACCTCCAACGACATCCCGGGACCCCTAGGTGAGGGAGGAAGGAGAAGGGGAGAAATTGCAGATGGAGGACACATGGCTTGGGGCGCGGTCAATCCATGTCCTGGCCCTGCGTCATGCCGTAAGGGCTGGCGAGCCTACTGTCGGCCAATGTATTAGTCTTGCATCTTTTCAGGGGGCTGCCGATACACATGGGCAAGACCGTGGAGGAGGAGGGGGAGGAGGAGGAAGGGGAGGAGGAAGAGGAGGAGGAAGAGGAGGAGGAGGAGGAGGAGGGCTGGGGCCTCAACAGGCGGAGGCGGAGGAGGAGAAGGAGGAGGAGGAGGAGGAGGAAAAGGGGGAAAGACGATGGAGGAGGAGGAGGAGGAGGAGGAGGAGGAGGAGGAGGAGGAGGAGGGCTTGGGCCTCAACAGGCTGCGGTCTTTCGCCCCGTCGACGGCGGCGAGGTCGCCGCCCGGCCCCGGCGCGCATGCGCGACAGGCCGCGGGCCTGCCACGGGGCACGACGACGAGCCTCTTTCGAGGGGCCCTGGGACACACAGACAAACAGACACAAACAACAGGATCCCCCACATTTTCCAATCTTTTCTGCACAGACGTGGCGCCCCGCGCCAAAAAGGTCATGTCCATGCAGTTTGACCACTTCGACGACAAGCGCTGAATCAGACACGAGAGGACTTTCCTGGCCACGGCGAGCCTCCGCCAGGAGCAGGCTCCCCGCCCCAGAACCGAAGGCCTGGCCCGGAACCTGGGAGCCCCATCCCGAGCCTAAGATTAAAGTCGGGCCTGTCCCTGTACAGGAGGAATGGGAGGAATGTTCAAAAATAGTCCAAACACAATCTGGGCACCACTTTTTGAGCATGTCTGCATATCTGTGGGGGCACTTTTGACTTTCAGTCCAAAATCCCCCTGCAGGGGGACGTGCCAGACCTAAGCCCAAGATGTCCCTTACTTCGGCCTCTTGACTGCACGCCGCGAGGCCCCGCACCGCCGCGCCACGCGCAGCTCGCCTCGCTGGGGCCGCTCGCCTCCCGGCCGCGAGGCGGCGCAGACCTCTGGCCGGGGGGCCCACCCGCACGCCGGCGGCACGGAACGCCAGGTCACCGCGTCGCCGCGGAGGGGCGGCGGCGTTGACCGTAGCAGCTTCAGCTGCGCCCCCCCGTCGTGTCTTTGTCGGAGGAGGCGGAGGAGGAGGAGGAGGAGCAGGAGGAGGAGGTGGGGCCCACATCGACTCGTTGTCGTGGTCTTCCGTCGTCGCCGCCTCCGAGGCCGCCGCCGCCGTCGTCGTCCGCCGTCGCTGGTCGAGCTCGTCGTCGTCGTCCGACCGTCCGTCGTCGGCATCGGCGCCGTCTGCCAGCCACGCCAACGTCCGTCCATCGTCGCAAAACGTCGTCGTCGCCGCCGGGCGGCGCCCAACAAGGCGGCTCCGGCGTCTCTCCGTCCCAGAGCGAGTCGCTCCGCACGCCGGCCACCTGCTGGGGGACCGTCACGGCCACGCTTTCCTGCCTCTCATCGCTCTCCCGGCTGCCGTGGCGAGGGACGAGCGCATGCGCAAACATGTGTTTGCCAGCGTGGCCCCATATCTGAAGTCTGTCACCCGTGGATGCAGTTTGGTGGAAGCAGTGTGATGGAAGCAACGTGGTGCTATATGCATGTATGTATGTATGTATGCATGTATGCATGTACGTACGTACGTATGGTGGTTTGTGTGTGTGCATGTATGTATGTATGTATGTATGTATGTATGTATGTATGTATGTATGTATGTATGAATGAATGTGTGTTTGTGTATACGTATGTATATGTATGTATGCATGTACGTATGGTTGTAAGTATGTATGGATGCATGCATGCATGTGTGTAAATGTGTGTAGGTGTATGTTTGTATGCTTGTATGTTTGTATGGATGGATGGATGGATGGATGCATTGATGTAGGTAGGTAGGTAGGTAGGTAGGCAGGCGGGCAGGTAGGTAGAGAGGTATGTATGTTTGTTTGTATGTGCATAGGTGTGTGGCGCAAGCTGTGTGGTGCAAGAAATGTGTTGCAGCCTGTGCGGTGCAAAGTACGTTGTGCCACCTATGTGGCGCAACAGATGTGGTCCAAGTTAGTGGGAACTTTCCTGCAAGCCACATGTTGGCGGCGCGCACACGGCACACGGGGGTAGGGGGAGGGGGAGAGGCGTCTTCGAAGGAGGCTGCTGCTTAGAAGGCGCGCGCCCTGCATCTACAGACCAGACCCGCGCCTTCTAAGAAGCAGGGGGGCTTCTAAGAAGCCTCTCCTCCTCTCCCTACCCCCCTGTGCGCGTGACCGAGGTTGTCCCAAACCGACAGCGGCCGCTGTTGGACAGACGGCCATTCTGTCTCAAATTGGCACCGTCCGCACCAACGCCGACAAGGAACCCTGCCCAGAACGGACACGGACTGTTGTCGGTCTTCGTGCCCGTCATTTCAGCATCTGTTTCGATCGTGCTGAGTCGCCCGCTCTGGTGGTCGAACATGGTGCAGCCCCCGCGCGGGACGCCCACTGCCTGATGCAGGTGCCCTAATGAGGTGCCCCAAAGCTTGTGCCTCATAACCGATGCCCTCTGGATGTGCCCTCTGGACGTGTCCTGGTGCCCACTGTTTGGTGCCTTACCAACGTGCCCAAACGTCGGAAAAGTCTTCAAGCTTCCAACCTTGAACATTCCCCCTGAGCATATCTCCCATGGGCACCTCAGGCCCGTGCGCGCCTGCATCGGCCATGCGTCGGCGACGTCGGCGCTGCTTCGGCGGCGTCGGTGTGGAGAACAGAAGGCAGCACACCGAGCCGCATCGCCGATGCAGCGCGATCCTCGACCCCACTTGCTCCGGATCCAAATTGGGAGACCTGCATCTTTCGGGGATGCAAACAAGTTCCGATACCGCTACCCCCCGGACCTCTCCCGGGGTCTTCTGACCAGATTTTCGAGGCGAATCCAGCGTTGGCGACGAGGCCCTCCCAGGAGTCACAAAAAGGGGAAAACGGGCGAGGGGTAGAGGTATGGGTACCCTGTACTCCCCTGATCTTTACACCACCCGAGCGTAGCAGAAACGTTCGGAGATCCAGGCCGACTTCGTGGATCGGCACTTATGACGCCCTTCGACCCGTCGCACGGAGCGCGCCAAATGGCGGCACCGGAGGCGCCGCCCGGGGGCCCCAGCGCGGAGCCAAGAGATCCGCTCGGAGCTCCGCGAGCTGATGTTTAGCCAGGGATGTGGCGACCTCAATCCCCGACCTTGGGTTTGTGTTTCGACTGGACCGAAAATTTTGGGCCCAACCATGGGATATACAGTGGGGGGGCGTCCATCCTCGATAGGAGGTGCGTCCGAGTGGCCCCCCGAGGGTGTATCCCAAAGTGCCCCCCTTCTCTGAACGGACAAACATATCGGGCGGAGCTCGGGATTCGGGGAGAAGATGATTAACAATAAAAAGGCCTCTAACCCTTTGGGAGCGCACCTAAGTTAGGACGGCCAAACACACTTAAGGATAGTGGGCCTTTGCTGCAGGTGTATAAAGCCAAACCGCCCAGATCGATCATCCCTGATACAAAGACGAAGACCTAAGTGAGGCCACGTCCTCAATATGTTGTTAGGGTGAAAGGTTAGTTGATCCTCGATGGGAAAAAACGCCGTCGAATGTTCTGCGGCAACTCATGGAAGCTTCCCGTACGTACCATGTTGTGGGCTCTTGCGAATCGACGCTCGTTGGCGCTAATCGACGCCAAGTCGAAGCTAATCCACGCTATAGACGCTATTCGACGCTCATCGACCCCAAATTGGCACTGTCACATCGATCACCAGACGCTAGACGACGCTAGTGCGCAGCAGCGACAGACCTTACGAGGGTACACAATCGGGAGCGGCCAAGAGGAGGACGTCCAAGAGGGGGGGGCGCAAATCATGGCCGGCGGCATGTGCGCGGCCCAGGGTGGGGGCCAGGGACGTAATGAAATAAGAAGACGCGCCATAAAATCTGGGAAGATATCATGGCCCCCGCTGTGATATCCACCCCCCCTAGTCATCATCCCCCCTTCTGCCGCCTCCGACACAAGGCTCCCATGATTTCCCGCCGAGCGAATGTGGTTTTCTCCTTTCTTCTCTGACCTTCTCCTCTGTCAATGCCTCGCTCCTGGGGCTTTGCCGTGTTCCTGCTCGTGAGCAGTTGTCACGCGTGTGGAGCTACGCTGTCAATGCCGCGCTCTCCTGTGGCCTTGCTGCGCTCCTGCTCGCACCGCACACCGCCAGAGGCGGCGGACAGCTTGAGAGGTCCACCTTCCCCCCAAAAAAAACACTCCTTTCTTCTCCGACACCACACCACACCACACCATCCCGACGTCGCCCCCGACCCTCCAAAAGTCCTGGGATTGACACACAGCCAGCCACTGGTTATGCATATTGTTTCCCATGACTTTCCGCCGAACGAATGTGGCTCACTCCATTATTCTCTGACCTTCTCCTCTTCTCCGACCTCCTGCACCCCGAGCGGTGTATGCGGCCCGGCACAGGCACGCGTAAACCCAGCTAAGTATCGGGGGGCTACTTACTGACCCCGCTCCACCTCCAAGCCCGGAGACAGACTGGCCTTGCAGGCTCCTGCAGGATGCCGCGGACCCTGCTCGGCGGCGACAGGCAGCGCGCAGACGGGACGGTAGGGGGAGGGGGACGGCTTCTTAGACGGAGGCTGCCTCATAGGAGGCGCCGGCCTTGCATCTATGAATGAGGCCCGCGCCTTCTAAGAAGCAAGGGTGCTTCTAAGAAGCCCTCCCCCCTCCCCCCACCCCCTTTTGCGCGTGGCTGAGGCGAGCGAGGGGGGGAATTGAGAAGGAAAAGGCATTCTCGGAGAGCGGCGGGACTTCTCAGGAACCCTCGCGCCTTCTGAGAAGTCTTATGCGTCTTGGAGGAAGGCTTGACAAACTTCTCTGAAGGCCGGACGATTTCTGAGCCTTCTGACAAGGTCTTTCCCTTTTCACTTCCCCCCATCCCTCGCCGCCGACCCTGCGGGATCCTTCACACAAGCCCTGGTCAATGCAGCTCCGGCTTTGCAGGACCCTGCATGATCCCGCGTTTCGACTGACCCCGTTCGCATTGACCCCCGCCTCATGAGCCCCGACCCTGGGCTCAGGTCGGGCATGTCCTCCTCGGGCGGATTCCGGAAGCAAAATCAAACATCAGCAAGACATGCTCCCAAATAAGCAGAAACAATCGAAATATTCGTCACCGTGCCGTTTTTTCGGCTATTCTTGAAGACTCGCCCCTGCAGCGGGGCATGCCCGACTTCCCCTGGCCCGGCGCGCGCGGGGCGCGGGGCGCCGGCGCGCGCGCGAGGGGCCCCCGGACCCTCCCGCCGGGGTGCACGACAGTGGGGGCCGATCCACGAGAAACCTTCCACAAAAAACCCAACCGTGAGACCCCAGGCCGTCCATTGATTTTCGGTGTGGGAACGTCACGCTATCCATCGTCAAACAATCGAAACCCAGGGCACCCAGGAAGCAAGCAGGGTGTTTCTTGGAATGGTCCCCCACTGTAACTAGAGGCCTCCCTGATGGTGTTCGAATAAATGGGGCCTGAGGATCGCACCGCATCGCCGATGCAACGTTGATGTCTCGGCGATGCGTCGGCGATGCATCGGCGACGTCGGCGATGCATCGGCGCCGTCGGCGTGAAGCAAATCGGGCTCCACATCGAGCCGCAGGCCTAGAATTAACGCACCAGCTTCCCGAGCTGCGTCCAGCCGTGGCGACGAGCCCCCCCCCCCCCTAGGGTGACAGCCGCTGTCTCAACTCGCGCTCCTCGGAGCGTCCCCCCCCCGAATGTCAGCTTGCGATTCGCAATTCCGTGGTGGACCCGCGTTCTTTTGCTTTGTAACAATATGTATAGTTTCATGTTTTGCTTATAACAGAAAATGTAAAACAAGGATCCCTGGTCGGGGGAATCGTGGGGGTGGCGCCCGCCAAATTGATACACGCGGCGGCGGCGTCGGTGATTAATTAGAATCGACGCCCGACCGCCATCCAGAAGCCGACTGAAACGGCGTAAACTAGGGGAGGGGGGGGGGGGGCGGGAGGCAAGGGCGGCAGAAGCAAGGACCGTTAGCCAGGGCGACACCTGTTCGAAATGAACTGCTGTCGGCGCTCACCCCCGCATTTTCCGTGCTCGTTGCGGTCGAGCCGACGCGCTCCCCGCGTCCTGGCCGCAGCCCAGGGTGGCTCCAGCTGTCTCGCGGGCCCGCGAGCAAAGCGGGCTGGACGAAAGGGGGGGGGGGGAGGCGTGGATTTGCCAAGCAGCTCACAATGCTGATTTTCTGAGCGCCTCCTGGCGCAAAAAGCGGCCACGCATCGAGGACTGACCCCTCGGCGGGCCGACCGAACCCAGCTGCGCGCAGCAGGTTTCGCACCTCCCCCTTTCCTTCCCGAGCCTTCCCTTGCCCAGCCTTTCGTCGTCCTCCTCCTCCTCCTCCTCCCCCTCACCCTCCTCCTTTTCCTCCATCATCCTTCCTCCCCCTCCCTCTCCTCCTCATCCTTCCGCCCCCTCCTCCTCCTCCTCCTCCTCCTCCTCCTCCTCCTCCTCCTCCTCCTCCTCCTCCTCCTCCTCTTCGTTCGTGCCGTTTGCCATCATCCGCGGCGCGGTGGCTCCCCGAGCGCTCCGAGCGGGGTTTCGCGCCCCGCGGGGTCTATTCATCAGCCCTCGGGGGGTGGGTGGGGGCGATCACTTGTTCATCACAAGCCGAAAACAAAGTCGGATCCCGGGCAGAGGAACATCCTTCAAGAACATGAGAACCTCTGTCATCCAAAACACACAAACATCCAAGCGCACCCTCCCTGGACCCCCAAGATGCACAAGAGCATCCAATAAACACGAAGAGCACCATAATACCCTCCCTTATGTTGCATCTTCGGGAGACCTTGTCTGTCCCGTCGCGGTCATATCCGCGTCGAATCCGTGTCGAATCCATGTCGTACTCATCGGATCCGTGTCGAATCCCTGTAGAATCCGCGTCGAATCCACGCCAAATCCGCGTCGAGTCCGCATCGAGCCCGCGTCGGGCACAAGAAAAGACACCACTTGTGGGGACAAGGCGAGGCCCCCCGAAGATGCAACGCAAGCCCCGAGCCGGCCTCGGTCTGCTGCCTCGGTCCGACTGTTAGCGTTGCCCCTGACGCGTGCGCCCCAGACCCGAGCGCGCCAGCCGCTGCCTGGCGCCGGCGCGCGCCAGGGGCGGGCGCGCGAGCCGGCCACCTGCAGGAGCAGCAGCGCCAGCCGCTGCGGGGTCCGCCGCGCCGCCTGGCAGGCTCGAGCCGGACCGAATCGCAAGATCGGATCAGATCGGGAACGGATCGGATCGCCAGAAGGGTCCCCGATCGAATCGGAATCGGATCGCCGCGCCGAGCTCAGGCTGGTCCTGGCCGACAGCGTTAGGTCGGGCATGCCCCTCTACAGGCAGATTTTGACGAAAAATAGCAAGTAGCCAAACAGCACCCCCCAAAAAGTCAAAAATAGTCAAAATCCATCGTCCCCTGACTATTCTTTGACTACTTCTGAACATTCCTCCTGTAGAGGGACGTGCCCGACTTACCGATAGCGTTGACTCGATCCAGATTCGGGCGTTGGCAGAACTGAGTTTAGTGGGATCTGGTCTAGTGATGTGTACTGGGGGACGACCCCCTCGCCCCATTTCAATAACCGCCGCTGCCGTCACCCGAAAAACACACACCAGCTACGGCAGACCTGGTCTAGTGCTTCTGGCCGATTTAGGGGCTCTATGTCCCTACTATTAAGTCGGGCGTGCCCCCCTACAGGAGGATTCTGGGCGAAAAAATGATAAATACGATAAATACTCAAAAAATAGCCCCAACATTGGCAAAATTAGTCAAAACAGTGTCCCCAGACTATTTTTACTAGTTTTGAATCTTCCTCCTGTAGAGAGACAAGCCCGGCTTGACCCTACTACCAGCCGGTCCCCTTCGGTGGGTTTCTGGCTATGCCCGACAGATCGAATCGAGTCGGATACGCGGGCCCAGCCGGCCAATCGAATCTTCGACTCCTGGGAGGGCCAAAAAACGACGACCCTCACGAGGATTCTGGCCCCGTCGGGGGGGGCCAGAAAAAACCCTCTCCTCTTCTGTGAAGCCAAAATCCTTGCTTTTACGAAAGTTTTGGCCCCATTTTGGCCTCCCGAGGGGGCCGCGCTCATCTTCCTTCATAGCAAAATCATTGATGTTACGAAGGTTTTGGGCTCATTTTGTCCTTCTCAGGGGGCAGCGCTTCTTTGCGCTTCTGAGGAGGTCGCAAGAGGCCCCAAGATGGCCTCAAGAGGCCCCCAGGAGCCTCCAAAGAGGCCTCCAAGAGGCCCCCAAGAGGCCCCCAAGAGGCCCCAAGAGGCCCCCAAGAGGCCCCCAAGAGGCCCCCAAGAGGCCCCCAGAGGCCCCAGGAGGCCCCCAAGAGGCCCCCAAGAGGCCCCCAAGAGGCCCCAAGAGGCTCCAAGAGGCCCCCAAGAGGCCCCACGAGGAGCCCGAACGACTCACACCAGGACGAGGGGCCCGAACGACTCACACCACGAAGAGCCCGAACGACTCACACCACAAGGAGGGGCCCGACCGACTCACACCAGGACGAGGCGCCCGAACGACTCACACCACGAGGAGCCCGAACGACTCACACCACGACGCGGGCCCCGAACGACTCACACCACGAGGAGCCCGAACGAGTCACACCAGGAGGAGGGGCCCGAACGACTCACACCAGGATGAGGGGCCCGAACAACTCACACCACGAGAAGCCCGAACGACTCACACCAGGACGAAGAGCCCGAACGACTCACACCACGAAGAGCCCGAACGACTCACACCAGGAAGAAGGGCCCGAACGACTCACACCAGGACGAGAAACCCCAAACGACTCAAATCACGAGGAGCGCTTTCTCTCCCTCCTCCTCCGCCTCGTCCTTCTCCCGCTCCCCCCACAAGGAGGATGTACAAGGAGGCGGGAGGAAGGAGGAAAAGGGGAGATATGCGGGGCCAAACGGACACACGCCTGAAAAACACGACTGTCGCCATGCTTCGCATGAGTTGCTGTTGTGAGATGGGCTGGTGGGGATACGCGAAGCGTAAAGAATTTTGAATCTTCCTCCTGTAGAGAGACAAGCCCGGCTTGACCCTACTACCAGCCGGTCCCCTTCGGTGGGTTTCTGGCTATGCCCGACAGATCGAATCGAATCGGATACGCGGGCCCAGCCGGCCAATCGAAGCGCATCGACTCGGGTCGTGGAGGCGGCCCTGCCTAGCGGCCACCGCCGCCAGGGGGTGGGGCAGATGATACGCGCCCGGCCGGCCGCGGCGCCCGTCTCTCGCCCTCGCTCCGACGTCCATGTAAGCGTTTTTTAGTGTAGAAGAAAAAACATAAACATAAACTTTTGGCGCTCCGCGCAGGACCCCCTCCCTGGCGCGCGGAGCGCGCCAAGTGCGGCGCCGGAAGCACCGCAAGGGGGGCCCAGCGCGGATCCAAGAAATCCACGCGGAGCGCCAAAAGTTTATGTTTATGTTTTTGTTTTCTTCTTCGATGTTCGGCGTTTTGACATTGGGCGGAGAATGGGCGGAGGAAGGGGTCTGGCTCAAGACCTCTGTCTAGTGCGACTGTTTGCAAGAGTGCTGCCTCTGGGGAAGACTCCACCCGTTCGAAACACGCGCCAAAGAACAACCAAGATCTACTCCATGGGGGGGGGAGGAGGGGTTTTGGGGCCCGCGCCGATCGGCAAAACAATGAAAGAAAAACGATCACCAGTCCCCTCAAGTTTCATTGATCTCGTTCGCGTATGTTTCGCGAGGTGGCCCAGCATGATGCTCCTCGCACGCATTTGTTGCATTCGCGGCCATAACGGGCGTTATGGGGGGGGGGGGCGGGAAAGGCCATAACGTAATTAGCGTCCCCCCCACCCCCAGACTGTGGTGCCGGACGCACTGCGGCAGTGCCAGGGATGCACTGAGGGGGGGAGCGTTACGTGATGGGGGGGGGGAAGGGGGGGAGTGGGGGGCATAACGCGCGTTATGGTCCAGAGGAGAACACACACACACACACACACACACACACACACACACACACGCACACGCACACACACGCACACACACACACACACACACACACACTCCTCGATGGTCTTCGCCGAGGAAAAGACACACGTCCGAGCGATGCCAAGGTCTGTGAAGGGGGTTTGGATTCGAGCTTCGGGGATCTGCTGACCCAGGTCAGTGCAAGCCCCGGTTGGTCAGGCGTCCCGCAAGATCCCGCAGGATCCTGCAGGATCCTGCACGCTGGCCGGGGCGAGTGCAGCCCTGGCTTCGCAGGACCCTGCAAGGTCTGGCGCTCGGGCTGGCCCCCATGTCTCGGGGATGGACAGACCCCCCTTTAGTAAAACGTGGTTAAGTGAAAACGACCTGAGGCCCAAACCTGGCGGGCGCAAGCCTGGAAAATAACGGCCACGGTGCCCTCTCGAGAACCGAAAACGGACAATTCACTAATCGACGTGTCACTGTTGGGGGTTCTGTCCACCCCCGAATGTCGATCGACCCCCGTCCCGAGGCTGCCAGGCAGGCTCGAGGTTCCGGGGTGGCGGACGTGTTCGCCACTCCTCGGCGGCCTCTCCGGCCTCGGGGTGCCCCTTGCGGCTGCGCCTCGCCGGGGGCGTGTTCCTGGGGGGGGGGGGGCCGCAGCCGTTCCGAGCGGCCGCCGTGGAGCCGACCCTGCGACCTGGAAACCAAGGGAGGGCAACGACAGAGGGGGCGCTCGCTCGAGGTTCGAGGTCTCGAAGTGGTCGAACGCCACGGATTTCAAGCCTCGGGGTGTCTGCCTGGAGCGCTTCGCCGAGGTAAGGCGGTCTGGGGCGAGGGCGGCCCGCATCGTCCAAAACGGCCGCTGGCGAGCCAGGCCATGACCCGAAACTCGGGAAGGGCAGCGATAGGGGGGGGGGGGGCTGGCTCGAGGTTCGGGATTTCCTGACGTTTTCGACGCCTCCAGGTGGCGACGTCCGGTCTCAACCCCCACCAACCATCGATTCTCCTGAATCGATGGAAGCCAGGGTAGGGCTCGGATTTCGCCACGTCTTCGACGACTTCTGCACCCTGCTTCCCGCCGCTCATCAAGCTGCCTGAACCGTTGATCGGCGAGGGTAGGGTCAGGAGTTCGACGCCGACACGGGGCGACAGCGGCGACGACAGCGGCGGCGTCGACGGTGGCGACGTTTCGCGCCATTCCTGAGCCAGAGAGGGCCCCTTCAGGGCCCCTAGTCGGCGGCGAGCGAGGGGGAAGGTGAGAAGGAGAAGGCCTTCTGAGAAGGCGGCGGGACTTTTCAGCAGCCCTGGCGCCTCCCGAGAAGTGTTCTCTATCTTCGGGAAGGCCCAGAAACTTCTTCGAAGGATGGGGTACTTCTGAGACTTCTGAGAAGGCCCGGCCCTTCTCACTTACTCCCAAGCTCGCCGCCGCCCTAAGTTTGTCCATCGTTTTCGGATGTTGCTAGAAGTGCCCCTGGCCCAAGGTGCACCCGGGATTTCCAAGGAGGCCCCCACGGCCTTCAGAGCACCCCTCGCGAGGCCCAGAGGGCCTCAGGGGCTCCAAGATTGAACGAAAAGCTGGGGGCACCTTGGGCCAGGGGCACCTCCAGCAATGCTACAAACCTTCATTGCCTGTGTGTTCCTGATTTAGGCCTGCCATGGGACGAGACAGATCGGCATTTACATCAACTTTCGCAGGTCCGCGCTGGTTTCTTGGACCGGCGCCGGGCTCCCCCTTCCAGGCGCGCGGAGCGCGCCCAAGGCGGCGTCGGAGGCGCCGTCAGGGGGTTCCAACGCCGACCCAGGAAATCCGCGCGGACCTCGACAACTTATGCTTACTCAGCGGCGAGCCCGGGGGGGGAAGTGAGAAGGGGCGGACATTCTCGGAAGGCTCGGAAGAGCCCCGGCCTTCTGAGAAGTGTTCTGGACTTCCCCGAAGACACAGAGAACCTCTCAGAAGGCCTCCGGCCTTCTGAACAGCCCCGCCGCCTTCTGAGAAGGCCTTCTCCTTCTCACTTCCCCCCTCGCTCGCCGCCGACTTACGCCGGTCTCCCTCCTGGAGCCCAGGTGGTCCTTGGCCTTCCACCTGGGTGCTGAGGAAGAGCCCAACCAATGGGCGCACCCCTTCCGCGTGGCCCGCGCGACCACCTGTCAAAACACGGACGGGTCGCCACAGGGGCTGGTGCGTGAGGCGAACTCCTACGCTTGGAGGCTCGACGTCTCAATTCAATCGAATCTCCGAAGTCGGGCTCGATTATCCGAGGCTCGAGGTTTGCGGGTGCGTTTTTGCGTCTTGAATAGAGCTCAAAGAATCCACCCCCATAATAACCACCCCGACACGCGAAGCCGTTTAGCAAACGCGCCCAATGAAGGACTCGAACACGGAAGGTCTGTTTAGTAAACGCCCAGGTCCGCTTAGCAAACGCCAAATTGTCCGGTCCGGGTGATGTTTCCTCCCTTGACTCGAGCATCCGAGGCTCGAGGTTTGCAGGTGCGTTTTGGCGTCTTGAAGCTCCCAATGAGGGGCCCTCGTTCATTCGACCGCAGTTCCTTCTGGCATGACTGCACCCCCGCAGCACTCTGAGTGTCCTGATCGGCATGTTTTCCACCACCACCATAAGTTGGAGGGGGAAGGAGGTGGAGGACGAGGACGAGGAGGAGGAGGAGGAGGAGCCCCTCCCCCTCCAACTTATGGTGGTGGTGGTGGACAACAAGCCCATCATATCCACTTCGACAAAGCTGGCCCTTCACCTGCGACACACCGAGCAGGCCAGACTGCTAATTTTTGTCACTGCTCTCGATCTCCGAAGGGCCTGCTTTTTCGCACCGCTTCGAGGGGTCGCACGGGGGTTGCTTTCCTGCAGCCCTCGAATCCCCCACCATGTGTGAAGGGGCCCACCATCACACAAATAAACACACAAAGCCCAGGATTCCCAGTATTTTCAAGTATGTTCTGAGTTTCTGTCTTCCCCCACACTTCCCATATCTTCGCATATTTTCCTGGGAGTCGACGATTCATTGTGTCGTTGTGCTTTTTCCCTCCTGAATTTGCCGCTCTCCCATTACATGACGCCCAACGGGCCACGCCTGCGGGCTCCAGGGCTGGCCTTGGACGCCAGAAAGGGGTACGGATCAGAAATGTCAGTGCCCAACAACAAATGCTGTTCCAAACCAGCCAACAGCGGCCGCAGTTGGGCAAGCGGCCTTCTGTCTCAAATGGACACAGGCCGCGGCGGTGCGGACAGCATGTGCCGTTCAAAATGAACAAAAACTGCTGTTGGGCATGGTACCTATTCTTCCCGTACCCATTTCGTTCGTGCCGACTGGCAAAACCGATCCTGGACGAACAAGGACTGCCGGTTCTGGGGCCGCAAGGGGCCGAACGAGGGCGCAGGGGCGCAGAGGCGGGCAGAACGAGGACTGGCGAAACCGATCCTGGACAAACGAGATCGCAAGGGGCCGCTTCCAGACAACATCAGGACTCCGAGGGATGAGATCCAAGAAGTCAGTGCAGACCTACGAGGGTCTAAGCTTGTGCACATATGTCTTCCTCGAGCCGCCTCAAAGACAGCATAAGGACATCGAGTGTCGCAGCAAGGGCGCAGCGTGAGGAATGTAAGCTCCTCGAGCGTCCCTGGGGGGGCACTCGAGTGCGGGGCAGCGTTAGCTGGCGGTGCGCACAAGGGGGTGGAGGGAGGGGGGAGGGCTTCTGAGAAGGAGGCTTCTTAGAAGGCGCCGGCCTTACATCTATAGATGAGGCCCGCGCCTTCTGAGAAGCAGGGGTGCCTCTCAGAAACTCCCCCCACCCCCCTCTGCGCGTGGCCGAGTTCGGGGTGGCCGGCTCAGGGGGGAACAAGGCGAACTGCGAGCGGCGATGCATCGCCGATAGCTCGGGGCGATCGGCCCAGTCAGAGGCGGCGCCCCTGCCCCGCCGCCTCCCGCATGCCCTGCGGGCGCGGGGCGCCCTCGGACCTCCGGCGACCCGGCTCCTCGGCCCCGCGCGACCTGCAGAGGCGGCGGCGCCTTGCTCGGAAGGCCTCGGGCCTCCCGTGGGGAGCCTGGCGTCTTCGGGGGAGGCCCCGGCCGCTCTGCTTCGGGAGGCGGGGGCTCCCGAGAAGGCCCGGCCCTGCTCGGCTCCCCCCCCCCTGGCATGCCGCCAAATCGCGGCCGGGGCCACGATCACGTCCCCGATTCCACGGCCCCTCCTGCTATCATCGAAGTGCGTGCCTTGGCGCCCCCTGGGCCGCGAGCGTGCCTCGGGCCGTGATATCTGTCGCGCCCCCCTCTTGGGCGCCACCCTCTCCCTGGGCCCCGGGCCGCCCCGATGTTTTGTGAAGCGTGGGCCCGAGAGAGGTCTGGACCACTTCCCCAGGGACGGCCCAACACCAGCCGCGCTCCAACTCCAACTCTTCTGGAATGCGTCGGATCTCTGGGGATCCTCCGCCGAGGTCTTCCAGTGCGCCCCGACGATGCGCATCGCCCTGCCGGGCTGACGTTCGCCCCGCGGTCGAGGGCGAAGCCCCGCGCCCCGAGAGTCATGCCTTGCGCGCAGCGGCTTGCTGCCCCTGGGGTCATTTGCACTCGGCGGCTGCTTCGTCCGCGAGGACCGTCCCAGCCTCCTCCTCCTCCTCCTCCTCCTCCTCCTGCTCCTCCTCCTCCTCCTCCTCCTCCTCCTCCCTCTCCTCCTCCTCCTCCTCCTCCTCCTCCCCCTCCTCCCCCTCCTCCCCCGGAGCCGCTGGCCGTGGCCCAGCTTCGGCGGGGGGCCCATGGCGTCTGGGGACAGGCCGCCTCGCGAGGGCGGCAGGCGGCGCGTGCGGTCCGACCCGCGGAGCTTAAGTCGCCTCGACCGCCCGGCCCGCCACCGGGGCTCGACGACCGCCGGCGTGGGCCCTCGCAGCCGTGCGAGACTGCGCCCGAGATGGGGCCGCCGAAGAGCTTCAGGGCCCCGGCGTTCGCGTGCCGCTACGGGGCTGGCCCCCCGCGCCCCGATCGGGGGGCATAGGGCGAGCGAGGTTCGCGAAGACCCAGCGACCGAAGGGCGGCAAGGACAAGAAAACATCGCAAGGACAAGGACAAGGGCACGTCCGAGACGACGCCGCAGTCGCCGGCTTCTTCGAAGAAGGTCCAGAAGACCCGGCGCGGCGGCTCCATTACCCGAATGGGCCCGCGACTCGGTCCGCGCGGCCGCCCGCTCCGAGGCGAAGAAGACGGCGGCCGCGCAGAAGGTGTGCGAGGAAGAGTCATACCATACGGAAGGTACAGTGGGAGGCGAGAGGAGCAACCCGACGGACAGGGGCAGCCCTGCCGGGTGCGGCGCGGCGCGGGCCATCCGCACGCCCTCGACGAGTCTCCATCCGTCGCCGGTCTCGCTTCGGCCCCCTGGGTCCCGATCTCGAGGGGCCCGTGGCCGTCAGGAACGGATCCGTGGCGAGCAACTGGCCCCGCGACATGGGGTCGGGGCCCCCGGGGCCCCCCGCACGGAACAGGCATCGGACTGTGGAAGGTGCCTGGGCCCTCCGCGCCCAACCAGAATCCCACCAGCCCTCTGGGCGTGGGTGGTTTAGTGAGTTCCCTCGTCCGCCCCTCCTTCTTCCCCTGGACCTGGACAGGGGGTTCCGCGAGTCGTCGGAGCGTCCAAAACGGCGAGGAAGCCAAAATCATTGGTTTTACCACGGTTTTGGCCCATTCTGGCCCCCTGGGGGGGGACGCTAATTAGACACGCCCCCTCCTGTGATCGATCTCACCCAAGATGGTCCAAAGATGGTCCCCAAGGCTCCCAAGGGCGCCCCAAGAGGGCCCCAAGAGGTGGCCAGGAAGCCCCACGAGGCCCCCAGGATGCCCCCAAGAAGCTCCCAAGAGACCCCCAAGAGGCCCCAAGAAACCCCCCAGAGGCACCCAAGATGCTCCAAGAGGCCTCGGCGAGAATGTCAAATCATTGCTTTTAGTACGGTTTTAGCCACATGTTGGCCTCTTGGGGGGGCACTGATTCAGATGACTCCAAGAGCGCCTGGAAGAGCCCAAGATGACCTCCAAGATGGCTCAAGATATCCCAAGATGTCTCAGAATGGCTTCCTCTGTGTGCTGCCCACTTCCCAGATCGAGCCGCCCGAGCTCCGCAGACACATAATCCCGATGATATGTGGCTGCTGTGTGTGTGTGTGCGTGTGCGTGTGCGTGTGCGTGTGCGTGTGCGTGTGCGTGCGTGTTTGCTTGTGTCTATGTATCTGCGTCAATTTGCCTGTCTGTCTGTCTGGCTGCCTGGCTTTCTGCCTGCCTGCCTGCCTGTCCGTCTGTTTTTCTCTTTGTTTCTGTTTCTGTCTGATTCTGTCGGTCTGTCTGTATGTCTGTCTGCCTGTCTGTGCGTGTGTGTGTGTGTGCGCGTGTGTGCGTGTGTGTGCGTGTGTTTGTGTAGTTTCGCCAGACTTCGGCTTGATACCTCTCGGCTGAGTAGCATGAACGCGCAACGAGATGAGCCCGCGAGCCTTCCGCGGCTTCCTGGGCACCACTGTAATCGCCCAAGCAGCCATGGAATCATGCCGGGTTGCAATTGAACTCGAGGCACGGACATCTGAAAGACGCAGAGGGCCGCGATGATTCGAAACTGTTCGCGGCCCTCGAATTCGTGCGACCTGTACTATCGATAACTGTACTGGGCAGCGCACAGAATGTCACCTGCTCCAGGTGTCAAAGCAAGACGCATTAAAATGATGATAACACGCATAAACAGAAACTTGTTCGAAACTCCGCTCGGATCTCTTGGATATGCGCCCGGCCCCCCGTGGCGGCGCCTCCGGCTCCGCCCCTGACCACCCCGGGTGGTACCTCCTGCGCTGGACCCCCCCATAGCGCGCGGCCAATGGGAGGGGGGCCAGGCGCCGATCCAAGAAATCAGCGCGGATCTCCGAAAGCTTGTGCTCGTGCCGGTCTCTGATCCTTCGAAGGCAAGGCGCGCACGTCGGGATACCGTGATCCCGCGTTCACCTTTCGGCCACGCATCCCACAAAAAACAACCACGTCCCGCACCTGCTCGCTGGCCACTCCTACGGGCAGCAGATGGGGCAGAGCTGCTGCACCAGGAGCGCGGAGGGCACCTGCCTCGAGCTGCAGCAGCGCCAGCCCGCGGCGCAGGAGACGGGAGCACCGGTCGGGCACTCACACACTCGTCACCCTCCTCAGGGCAAGAGGCCGGCAGGCATCTCCACCGAGATGTCGTCAGCCGAGATGTTGTCGGGAGGCTCGATGTTGCCGTCGAGAGCGAGCTCGGCGGCGCCGACCCCGGGGGACGCCGGCCGGGCCAGGGGGCCCCACCCCGGCGCGCCGCCATGGTACCCGGTCGTTCCGTGCCGGCAGTCTCGGCACTCTGGCTGCCACTGGCAGCTCCGCAGGCACCGCTGGTGCTCCCACGACGAGTGTGCCCCCAGGCACCGCCACTCGCAGAGCTCGCACCGAAGGCACTGCTGGTTCTGCCACTGCCACGTCGACTGCGGCGCCCGGGCAAGCCCAAGCTCAGCCTGCTGCTCGACGCGGGGGCGGCCGGGCTCCCACACCTGAGGGGTCGCGGCGGGGGCGGAAGGGTTCAGGCAGGGGAGCACCGCCCTGGAATCGGCGATACATCGCCGACGCATCGGCAGCGGGTACAGCGGAGGCCAGTCCACGAGAAACCTTCCACAAGAAGACCAGCCCTGAGACCCCAGGACGTCCACTGCTTCTTGGCGTGGGAACGCCAGGCTTTCCACAGCACAACCGTCGAAACCCAAGAAACCCAGGGCACAGTGGAGGCAAGCAAGGCGCTTCTTGGCATGGGTCTCCATTGTACATCGCCGACGGATTGGCAGTGGATAGACGACAACGAAGCCGCACGGGCGAGGTGGGCCACCGGTCCCCCTGTCTGCGATCCATGGGCGACCTGGGCTGGATCCCCCCCCCCCCCCCCCCCCGAGCCTCCCCCTCCCCCCGAACGTTGCCCAGTAGCTTTCGGGCTCCAGCTCGGCCCCCTTGGCGGCCGCTCGCGACGAGCCTGGCACCCCCGGAACGCCCTCGGCCAGGCGCAGTTGCCGGAGGGCATCCCGAGGCTGGAGAGCCGCCTAGAGAACCGCTGAGCACGGCAGAAGACCTCGAGAGCCTCGAGCCCATCCCGCCCTGCCGGCCCCCATTCCTCCGTTGCGCAAGCGTTCGGTGGCAGCTCATGGGGCTCTCCCCTACCATCTTGCTGGCCGACGCAAACCGACGGTGATCCACGCCATTTCGAATCCAAATCGGCGCTACATCCTCGACTACCAAAACCTAATCGGTGCTAAAACGGAAAATAGAGACGGCATGCAACGCTCCCAGAATTCACTACCGTGCAAACGGCCCCCGGTGGCCACTCGAGTCGTGCCCGCCACCAGGCTGACTGTCTACCAGACGATCCCAACCCGACCCGACGACCCAAATTTTGGTGGGGGGGTACAGATTCCACGTTCTCTTCCATGTTCTCCGACGCCTGGGAAAAGGGGGGAAACTTGGGCCTTCGGAGGCTGGGAGGCTCGCAGGGTGTGGGAGGCGTGGCATGTTCTCAACATCGCAAGGGGTGCGAAGGGGGTGGGCCCTGAGCGCGGCCTCTATCCACGCCAGAGTCGCAGGTTTGACAAGCGTGGCATATCTTCGACACCAGTGGGGTGGTCCCTCGGCGTGGACTCTAGCCACGCAAGGGTCGCAAGGCTTGACATGCCAGGGTCGCACGGCGTAGCAGGCGTGGCATTTCTTCGACACCACCCGGGGTGAGCAAGGGGCGGTGCCTCGGCGCGGCCACTATCCACACCAGGGTCGCAGGGCGTGGCAGGCGTGGCACTCCCTCGACGCCAAGCGTGGCATGTCATCGACACCACATGGGGTGCGACGGGCGTGGCTCACTTGTCCGCTGCAGTCGATCAACGCGTGACAGGCGTGCCATTTTCTCCACTTCGCCAGGGGTGCGCAAAAGGGTGGTCCCTGAGCGCGGTTTCCATCCACGCCAGGGTCGCAGGGCGTGGCAGGCGTGGCAATACCTCGTCACTGCAGGGGGTAGGCAGGGGGTGGCGCCTGAACGCGGCCTCCGCGCACGCCAGTGCCGCGGGGCGTGGCAAGCGTGGGGCCGTTGTACAAGGGCGGCAACAAGCAATCAGGTAGCGCGAGAGACGGAACGCAAACTTCGGCGAAACGCCTCCGGCAGCGCCCAACTCACAGAGATAGCGCGCAAGACGATGATGGCGCGCCCCTGCTCCGGCGGCCTTGTCTTTGAATGCCCGTCGATAGGAAATCTCGAGGCTACGGCTAACAAGAGGAACATGGCATCGCTCCTTCTGCCGAGGAACCTCCAACGCTGCGCCCCGCGCACTGCAGCGACCTCAGGCCGCCGGAAAATCCAATGGCGTTCAGCGAGAACGTGCAGTGTCACGGCATACGTCTAGACGTGCATCACAGGTCTTCTGCGCCACCCCGGGTCCTCTGCGATGTCCGTGTTTCCTCGATCCATTATTGCGTCCGTCCCTCCTCCGTGCGCTTACTTTCGAGCGCCTGGACCGAAATCTCCTGGTGTGGGCCCAGTGGCCAAGCCTGACCTGGTGACGCCATCCGCTTCTCAGCCATCTGCTTGTAGCTTGAGCCATGGTGGACGGCAGGCGCGCCAGC